CGCCACCGTGCCCGCCCCGCGCCGTCACGCTGTTGTGCCCACCCGCCGCCGCGCCCGCCGCCCTGCGCCGCTGTACACGCATGCCGTCACGCCCCGGTGTGCTCGTCGCTGTGCCACGGTTGGTGGGGAGGTGGGTGGAAAGGAAGGAGAGAGAGAGAGGGGTGGGGGAGAGAGAGGAGAGAGAGAAAAGCGGGGTAGGTGGGAGAGAGGTTGACATATGGGCCCGGCCGGACACGAGCGGACGAGCTGCGTCCGCTTTGGGCTCGAAACGAGACCAACTTTGGTCCAGGGATGGGGTGAAACGGACACGAAACAGATGAAAAAGCAAAATGGGGTTTGCCGCTGGGTCGTCTTATTTGTCTATTTTATCTCAAACGGACAGGGACGGACAGGATAGGGTCGCGCGGTGGAGTTGACCTAATATCCCGACCCGCAGCCCAAGAACCTTTAGAGTTTCACGAGCCCTCTTCCGTCCTACAAAATCCCCGGTTCCGCCTCCTCTACTCTTGCTCTTCAAACCCTAGTCCTCCCCCTCCTCCTCAACCCGCCGCCGCTTCTTCTCCTCCGGAAGAAAACCCTAGAGAGCTTCAAGTTCTCCGGAGCGCGAGAGATGGCCGCGAAGGGCGATGGGCCGGCGATCGGCATCGACCTCGGCACGACGTACTCGTGCGTCGGCGTGTGGCAGCACGACAGAGTCGAAATCATTGCCAATGACCAGGGCAACCGCACCACGCCGTCGTACGTCGCCTTCACCGACTCCGAGCGCCTCATCGGTGACGCCGCCAAGAACCAGGTGGCCATGAACCCCATCAACACCGTCTTCGGTGAGCGTCTCTTTACCTTGCATCCGTTACAAGCTCAGATCTGTTTACTGTTTTCATGAAGTGATTAGCACTCTACCTCGGATCTACTCTGTTTAGTGTGTTTTAGTATTATTCGCATGTGTTCTAGTCTGATATATATTATTGGTCTTGGTCGCTTAGATCCGTGCTGCCAACGGTTTGTTACTAGAGGTAGCTGTTAGCTGGTTGGTATTGAGGTTTCAGATCTATTAGTATAAACATATATGACTTGCGCAGTTGGATCTTGTTAATTGTTTGGTCCCACTTAGTTTATTTGTTTAAAGTAGATCTGGACAGTGAGTTATTTTACACTTCATTGGCATGTGACTCGGATGATATCTATATTATTAATGTTATTATAGGGTTTGATTGCTTTGTCTTGCCAAGTGTGTTTGGTTAACATGATTTAAATCTACATTGTCAATTAGCTATTCTGTTGGAGAATAATTCTAGCGGATTGTGGATTGAAACGATTCTTTATCAAATCCCACTTGGTTGCATGACAGGCTTGTTGTTCACTGCACTTTTCATTGATTCTCATTCTTTGTAGCAGTTCTGCACCAATTAGTGTAGCTTTATCTTTTGAATTAGTTATTATTGGTGTATTTGTTTTATTTCTAGAGCTAGCAGATTGATGATGAAATAAAATCCAAGCGCTTTTCTGCTGAATTTATGATGGATGGCTTTGGGCCATAAGTTTGCTACCATGTTTTGTGAAGCGGAATTGGGCGAATTCCTTGTGATTTGCTCCTTTTTTGCCCGTCTAATTTTAGATGTGGCAAAATAGGGTAGCAAGCTAAATGTGCCCATAGCTTTCATGGTTTTCAATCTGAACAATCTGCAGCTCAATCTCTCATTGCATTTTTTGTTACCTACTGGATTTTGTTGTACTGGTTCATTTTTGTCTGGTTCATTCTTGATGGGAGAAGTGATGATATCATAACCATACCACATTTCTGTATTCACTGTGATGATCAACTTACATCATGCACTACCATCTGATCTCCCATTGCTATTTTTACTGTTGATATATTTTTATATAATTCAACTTTTGAATTCTGAAAACTGAAATGCTGAACCTGTTTTTGTTGCTGTGCAATCTGTGATGCAAACAATCCCATTTGCTGAATCACTGTGATTATTATAAACAAGATCACCATCTTTCGGCTGAGATTGCATGACAAGTTTATGTTTATTTGTTTAATGCAATGTTGATGAATGCATCCATGCTTTTACACTAAATACCATTTGGCATCTGACTTTTTTGCTTTTTTTTGTGATTCTGTGTCTCAAAACATGGCAAAAAATGAGGGGGAACGAAACTTTGCTACACTGGCTGCTCATAATGAGCCTCTAATTACTATATACTACCTGTTTATATTACTTTGCTTATGATAACTGTTTAATATTGGATAATGGTCCTCTTAGATACAGCCCTATTTCCAGCCCGTTTAAATACTTACCATGTTTTCTGCCCAAGTCTGTCTGTGAATGAACTTTTCATATAATGACAACTGTTTACTTTTTAGTTTGTTTTTTATGCATTTCTGACGTAAACTCTTTTATGCAGATGCCAAGCGTCTCATTGGCCGGAGATTTACCGATTCTACTGTCCAGAGTGATATTAAGCTGTGGCCCTTCAAGGTTGTTGCTGGACCTGGTGACAAGCCTATGATTAATGTCCAGTACAAGGGTGAGGAGAAGCAGTTTGCAGCCGAGGAGATATCTTCTATGGTTCTCATCAAGATGCGTGAGATTGCTGAAGCTTTCCTTGGCAGCACTGTGAAGAATGCTGTTGTCACTGTACCTGCATACTTCAATGACTCGCAGAGGCAGGCTACCAAGGATGCTGGTGTCATTGCTGGCATCAATGTCCTTCGTATCATCAACGAGCCAACAGCTGCTGCCATTGCTTATGGTCTTGACAAGAAGGCTTCCAGTGTTGGTGAGAAGAATGTCCTCATCTTTGATCTTGGAGGTGGTACCTTTGATGTCTCTCTTCTCACCATTGAGGAGGGTATCTTTGAGGTTAAAGCCACAGCTGGTGACACTCATCTTGGTGGTGAGGACTTTGACAACAGGATGGTCAACCACTTCGTCTTGGAGTTCAAGAGGAAGAACAAGAAGGACATCAGTGGCAACCCGAGAGCTCTTCGGAGGCTGAGGACATCCTGTGAGAGGGCAAAGAGGACTCTCTCCTCCACTGCGCAGACCACCATTGAGATTGACTCGCTGTTTGAGGGCATTGACTTCTACTCCACCATCACCCGGGCCAGGTTTGAGGAGATGAACATGGATCTGTTCAGGAAGTGTATGGAGCCTGTGGAGAAGTGTCTCAGGGATGCAAAGATGGACAAGAGCACTGTACATGATGTTGTCCTTGTCGGTGGTTCCACCAGGATTCCCAAAGTGCAGCAGCTTCTCCAGGACTTCTTCAACGGCAAGGAGCTGTGCAAGAGCATCAACCCTGATGAGGCTGTTGCCTACGGGGCTGCTGTCCAAGCTGCCATCTTGAGCGGAGAGGGCAACGAGAAGGTCCAGGACCTGCTGTTATTGGATGTCACCCCTCTTTCTCTTGGTCTGGAGACAGCCGGGGGTGTGATGACAGTCTTGATCCCAAGGAACACCACCATCCCCACCAAGAAGGAGCAGGTCTTCTCCACCTACTCGGACAACCAGCCCGGTGTGCTCATCCAGGTGTATGAGGGTGAGAGGACCAGGACCCGTGACAACAACCTTCTTGGCAAGTTTGAGCTGTCTGGCATCCCTCCTGCTCCCAGGGGAGTTCCCCAGATCACGGTCTGCTTTGACATCGACGCCAATGGTATCCTGAACGTGTCTGCCGAGGACAAGACGACTGGGCAGAAGAACAAGATCACCATCACCAACGACAAGGGCAGGCTGAGCAAGGAGGAGATCGAGAAGATGGTCCAGGAGGCTGAGAAGTACAAGTCCGAGGACGAGGAACACAAGAAGAAGGTGGAGTCCAAGAACGCCCTGGAGAACTACTCATACAACATGCGCAACACGATCAAGGACGAGAAGGTCGCCTCCAAGCTGCCGGCGGACGACAAGAAGAAGATCGAGGATGCCATTGATGCTGCCATCCAGTGGCTGGACACGAACCAGCTTGCTGAGGCGGACGAGTTCGAGGACAAGATGAAGGAGCTGGAGGCCCTGTGCAACCCCATCATCGCCAAGATGTACCAGGGTGCTGGTGCTGACATGGAGGGCGGCATGGACGACGATACCCCAGCTGCGTCCGGCGGCCCTGGCCCCAAGATCGAGGAGGTTGACTAAACAGTCGATGTTCTGTGACAGAGGCGGTGAAGCCTGCTGCTAGTTACAGTATTATTATGTCGTGTCTGTCATCTGAGACTTGAGGTTGTGATGGTTATTGTTTCGCTCCGGGTGGTCGGAGTTATTCCAGTGCGAGTTGGAACATTCGTGGGTTAAATGGGCCACGATGTCACGTCTAAGTAATATATTATTCTAGTTCGTTGGTATTTCTGCTGCCCATTGTTATATTTTCTTACTCCTGTGCTGTTCTTTTTTGTTGAGTTATTTACTGGATTGGTTACTCTGTTGTTTTGGAGTTCACTGGACTGAGTGGTCGGAGTGTCAAATTTTATGCCGTGGGTCGTCGCAAGGCAGATGAAGGTGCCAGGATCAGGCTGTGGACGACGAAACCGGTGAGTTCTGCCTCTACTGGCTATCTTCAGATCGCCCCCACACCATGATATTAGTCTAAGTTACTACCTTCATAATGCAAAATAACATGATAGTAGTGTCATAGATGACTTTATTTATTAGTTTGTAGACTCATCTTGTCTAGCGCTATGTTACAGTAACATATTATGTTACCACCTTACATTAAATATTTGCCATATAAGCAAAAAATTCTTGGAGTGTGCTATGTTACTAGCTAAGTTACTCCCACTATGACTAGCCTTAGTACTTTGATCTTTTGGCCCCTTTTACTATTGGAGAACCTAGCTTTGATGAAGGAAAATCAATTCATTCTCCTAAAGACGTGTCTCATTCCTATAGGCTAAGGATAGGATTTTTTAGTGAGTGCAGTATGTTTTTTTCCTTTGATTTGAAATTAGAAGGATTGGTTCCTAAAATTGAGTGTCTAATGTTTTTTTCCTTTGAACTAAAATGAGAAGGATCGGTTCCTATTTCTATGATTCCTTTGAACTGAAATTTGAAGGATTGTTTCCTATCCTATATAGGAATAGAAATTTATACTTCAAAGAAATATTTCCTACAAAATTTGTATCCTTCACCTTGAACTTGCAGACAAAAGACAATTCAAACCCTAAACTTCTAATTCCTGAAATTAGCACATCAAACTCTTTAATCTCGGTCTATTTTAAACCTTGAACGCGTTTTGGTCTATTTTAAACTTTGAGGGGTCCCAAACATGGCAGCTCAAACCTGGGATAGTTGGCTGTGGCCGAGCGCGACTGGGCTGGCCCACCTTTTCCGTAACACGTGAGTTAAAAATTTGAAAAAAAAAGAGAGAGCACGGGGAATCGATTTTGCAACCTGCTGCCGAACTCGTCTTGATAGCCACTCTAACTGATGGGTATTGGTGATCAATACGAAGCGCAAAGAATATTTGACCACATACCGCATCATCGACATTTAAAAACATTTCTGAAATTTTTCGAAATGTTTTCTTAGAAATTGTCAACAATTTTGAAATCCAAACATTTTCTGGAATTTTTGGAATCACGATCTTCTTTAGAAAACATAAACTAATTTTGAAAACGTGAACCATTTTTGAAATTCACAAACACTTTTTTAAAAAACACTACTTTGAAACCTGAACAAAATTTTGAAATGCGAACAAATTCTGATAATTTGTTCCCATTTGTTCAAAAATTAGGAAGTGTTTGAACTTTAAATTTTTGTTCAGATTTCAAAATTTGTTCCCACTTTTACAAAAAATGTTTATGTTTAAAAACTGTCTTGTTTTGAAAAATTGTTCGCACTTTAATTTTTCAGGTTTAATTTTTTTTCGTGTTTTCAAAAAATTTGTTCATTTTTTAAATATTGCCACTTAAAAAAATTCAGGGATTTAAAAAATGGTTCACGTTTTCAATATTTCTTTGTGTTTTTCAAAAACTGTTTGTAATTAAAAAAATCGCATTTCTGCAAAATCGTGTGGAATTTTTTTTAAGAATATTCAGATTTCAAACTTGTTGATAATTTTTAATAAAATGTTCCAAATCTCGACATTGCATTGTGTAGTTAAATATTTTGCGCTTCTCATTTATAACCAAAAGTTATCAGTTAGAGTGGTTAGTGGGAGTAGTTTAGAAGCACCCGGTCCCAAGTTTGATTCCTCGTGAGTCTCGGTTTTATGGATAGTTTTAAGCCTCGCGTTACAAAAAAGAAAAACATGCTTCGCTCCTGGTGGGCTGGCCCAGTCGCCTTCGGCCGCAGCCAGACCTGCCATGTCAACATTGCTAAAAAAAAAACCTGCCATGTCAACAATCTCTTTGTTAACTCGCTCAGGGTTCAAAACAGACTGGAATCTGAGGGTCGATGTGCTTTCGTCTACAAGTTTAAGGTTTGTTTTGGAATTTTTCCGAAAGGGGTTTGCTAGTGGGATCTACACTGTAACTCTCTTCCTCTGCTCCATCATGGCACTTTTGTTCCATCCCGGTGTTGTCCTGGCGCATAATTTGGAAGTGCTGGGCCTTGCTTAACATCAATTTTTTTTGCTCTGCCCTCTTTGGTCCGAGGAGAATGAAATCATGCATCACCTTCTTTCTCGGGTGCATTTTCTCCCACACCACTGGGCATGAAAATTCTGTCGTGCTTCCACCTCAACATCTGAAAGTTCGATGTGCTTTCGTCTACAAATTTAAGGTTTGTTTTGGATTTTTTCCGGAAGGGGTTCGCTAGTGGCATCTACACTGTAACCCTCTTCCTCGGCTCCGTCATGGCACTTTTGTTCCATCCTGGCATCGTCCTAGCGCATAATCTGGAAGTGCTGGGCCTTGCTTAACATCAAATTTTTTTGCTCTGCGCTCCTTGGTTCGAGGAGAATGAAATCATGCATCACCTTCTTTCTCGGGTGCATTTTCTCCCACACCACTGGGCATGAAAATTCTGTCGTGCTTCCACCTCAACATCTGACCATCAGACGGCACAGCGGCCTTCTTCAATTGATGTGAGGTCACGACTGCGTCATCCACCGGCATGTGCAACGCTTTCATCTTCGACGGTATGCGGCCATGACATCAAAGGCACACTCTGAGCTTGCACCGGAGCCAAAGGCTTAGATAAAATTATACTCCTTTTGTCTCGAATGTCTCAATTTTATACTAAGTTTAGTACAAAATTATATTAAAATTGAGACAGTTATTTTGAGACGGAGGGAGTACTTGTAACATGAACCTGATGTGCCGGTTTTTGTGACTCCAGCTTGTGCGCATTACCAGGAGTTGCACCCTGTATTTTCTCTCCCCTATCAATGAGACGATACACAATTATACATATTCATGAAAAAAAAAATGCTGCGCGCGGCTAAGTTAGTATGCTGCGCGAGTTGGAACGTGTCTGTGGCAACGCGGCGTGCAGTGGCATGGGACGGGATACGAGTCCGTTTTGTAGGTACTCCCTCTGTAAATAAATATATGAGCGTTTAGATCACTACTTAGTGATCTAAACGCTCATATATTTATTTACAGAGGGAGTAGGATGCAGCGGCACGCAGTGCAGAGCCGGTGACATGGTGCGACTGCTTTTGTTCGTTCAGGTGCCTCCTCACAGTCACACTCGCAATGGCAGTCACGTCCCGTCGTCCGGCTTCCGTTTGACGGCCGGTCGGTCGAGGGCGAGAAGGAATCGGCAGCAGGAGAGGAGTTTTTCCTTGGTCTCGAAGCATATAAAGCGTCTCTTGCCTGCAGCGCAATCCCATTTGATTCTTCCGAGCTAGTAGTAGAAGCCTAGAACCCAGCCCGTCGCGGCAGCATGCGAGCTTTGCCTTGCCGTGCCTGCAGCTCGTCCTCCCCGCCGGGTCGGCAGTGGCCGGCGGTAGCTTTACCCTAGATTTGGCCCGGCAGGGAGCCAACCAAAAGCTGCCGCGACGAGACGCCGGCCTCGGAGGCCGCGCCGGTGGGCGCTGAACCGGAGAGGGATCGGGTCACATGGGAGGCACTCGCCTCGCCTACCTCGCTGCCGGCTGCTTTTTCCTCCCCTCCCGGCCATCTTTGACTGCCTATATATTTGGGGAACCTAGACTAGAGGGAGGGAGGGAGGAGTCTTCCAGGCCAAGATATCTTTGATGCTGCCTGCCTCTGCCTCTGCCTGATTGATTGGTTGATGATTCCTCGTCGCGCACTAGTCGTACCTTGCACTGTCAGCGCTCTGCTCACGCACTTGAGCTCCCAGGGATATATTTGTAGATGAGGAGATTCACAAACTATCTGAACAATCAGTTACACCTTTGTATATAAAAAGATACAACCAGTATCTGCTTTGCTTTCTTTGGTATGTGAAAAATTTTCCGTAGAACAAGTGCTTCAAAAAAGAAAAAAGCCCACACATTTTCTCCTTTGAGACTACAACATAATCCTTCAGTTTCAAAATATATGTGTTTTTTTGTACTTTGCAGCTTCCAAATTTGACAATTATAAACTATGTTGTGCTATGATTTCTTCTTCTTTTAATGATACCATTTACATTTAACCAACTAAGTTATTTTAGGTACCTAGTGATATTTTTTTATCAACAACATATACAATGCTTCCCAAAAAGACATAAAAAACGGATTTTATTGGAAATATTGATACAAGATGCATCTAAGCACACAATTCAATACACGACTTGAGAAAAAGGTTAACCGGACCAACTGTTCACATCATACTCGATACCCCGCTCATCACCGTGAAATTAGATATATATAGTTTTCTAATATTTATATATAGTCTGTGTAGAATACTAATTCTGTCATTACTATTTTAAACTACGAGAGAAATTTTTGCATAAGCAAAAAAGTCTTAACACGAAAAATTGTACACGTCACAATTAAAACCCACTTAAAATACATTAATACATGTTGCATTGTAGAGGATTCTCATGTGTACATCAGACGAGTGCTAGTGATCTCTCGGGAGAGATAGACTAGAGGTCCGAGTGAGGAAATGCCATGTAACTCGAGTGACGACGTCGGCGTGTGGTCCGATTCTCTGGAGAGACGCCACTCATTAACACGGGGGAATGCCAGCGCGGGCCATCTTCGAGTCCAAATTTATGAGGCTCGCGCCTTGGAGCCTAGAAGA